CACATCATATACATGAACACGCACTTTTTAACCTTCACTTCCATTCCTGAGAGATCTGTGTATATTTAAAGTAGATTGGCTTTGGTTAAAGAAGCTGTTCAGATGTCTTTTTTCTATTTTCGATTCGTGTTTTACAAACTATTTAACACTGCAGTCAAACCTTATGCTTCGTTTCCCTGAAAAAGTGCCCCATATCCACAATGTATGTCCGTATATGTGACGTGTTAGCACTGAAATTTCCTTCATGACAACTGGCAATTATAAAGGCTTAGTAGGCAGTGTCTGTCATAGAGGCTGCTTTTGTCAGCTCTGCTGTCAAGTTGACATGTCAGATAAGATTTTAGGTTGTGTCATTGAACTTTTCTAGAATGAGTTGAGTTTGTAACTAGTACAGCTAGTTCAGCCAGCTGATGTCAGTCCGTTAAGGTTAGAATTCACTAGATGACTTCAACCCCCATTTCAGCACCGGTTTTACCAAGTCCTCATCCACTTGGCCTCGTCTTTTCCCCTCTGGGGAATCCCCAGCGCCATCTTACTGGGCTGCTCCATTTATTTATTAACTCAACGGAAGGGTGTTCGATGAGCCCCTCGGAGGGGGGAGGGATTGAGGGAACACCAGTGTCGACTTCAGCAGCAGAACTTTGAGTTCCAGACTACTCCATCTGTTACACTGCTGATACCACTTTGTCACTTTCCTCAGCTAGCTGGCTTGCTAAAGGCTACACGGCTAACATGAACAAAAAAGAAAGGGATTTCAGCGTGATTCTACTCCAGGTTTATAGCCAGACAAAACAATTACTCACACATTATGTATGTTATGATCAAACTTCTAAAAACACGTTTTGCATTGCAAAGTTTGCATGACTAGCCGATTAGCTCACTGAGGCTAACCTGCCGAAGGTAAGTGCGTTTTAATAATCTGCTCTTCACTGTTGCCTCCTTCCCTTATGCCTCAAGTGGCCACTGGTGTAATATAGATCCATGATAATGGGGCTCTAGACAGAACAACCTCTCAACCAATTAAACATTTGAAAGCAATAATGTTAGCAATAAAAATGGGTTCTATTTGAATGCATTTTGAATGCATTTAAAGTCATCAGATTCATCTGCTCGGGGAGGGGTTCAGATCACAACCCACATAACAAAATGTTCTTCCATATGTTGCGAGGTCTCCAAATCCCCAGAACGTCTACAAAGAAACTTTAAATAAACTCTTAAGAGACAAATAAAGTTAGGCGTCATCATATAATTTAAAAAGCAACATTTTTGTTTTCCCATAATCTTCCGTGAAAATATAGTGACAAAAGTACGATTGTAAAAAATCTTAGCCTGAAGGCTGACAATCTGTAAATCCGCAGCTAAACTTCATATTAAACAGTAGCCATGTTTACGTGCAGCCTTATAATCCATTAATAATCTGACTAATAGCTCAATAGAATACGTCCATGTATACGCCTCAGAATAGACTAGTCCGATTGAGGCCATTCGGAAAACAACTTCTGTCCGATTGAATGAGGTGGGTAATCCTGTAAATAATCAGTTAAATAGAAGAATAATAACCGTGTAAACGCCTGTATCTGAATACATTCCCAATCAGAGAGTTTAAGTATGTTAAGTGCATGTGCATCGCGTCATAGTGAAAGTTTATGCTTTGAACTTTAAAAGATGCTGGTGGGACTGGCAACCAGAACATGACGTCTTCCTCTCACTCCTTCTTTAAGTACATGTGAAGTACGTTTTTTCTGAGTGTGTCATAATTTTAAAGCAATTAAAAACCCAAGCACTGCTCACCGCTGCTCGTCTCTGACTGGACTCACATGATGCTCGTTGTCATGGTAACGTCTATACTAAGCGGTGCTCTACGCATGTGCGTACGTCTGAAACAGATGACTTGTGTGCATGTAAACTGAGACTTCCATCAGATTGTTGAGTAGAGTCCGTATAAACACCTCAGTCTTAATCTATAATCGGAATATATTCAATCAGATTGGCAAAAATCTTTGCATGTAAACATAGTGATGAATAGAGAAACCTGCAGTAAAACATTAACCTATGGAAAACTTTCAGATCATTTATGAAATTTCAGCACACTTTTTTTCTTAGGATGTATGTTTTATAGGAAATATATTCCACCAAAGCCAGTGGCTGTTGGGCAACACAGCTGACCCCCCACACCAGACTGGAGTTCAATTCCCTGGCCAGGCAAACGCACTAAGCTATACCAATTAGACCCCTTGGCAAAACTCCTAACACTACATTGCCCTGCCTCTGTAACATTACTGTGAATTATAAGTCATTCTGGAAAAGCACATCTGCCATAAATGTAAATGTAAATGTTATCCCATCTTGGTTTAGTGTTTTCCCAAGCGTTCAGAGCTGCCTGACAGTGCCTTGAGGCCTGCAGTTTTAAAAGTCAGACTTCATACTCATCCAAAGAGGCGTATGCACCAGTGATGCAGGTGGGCCAGAGCAGTTCAGCAGTTCGCTAAAATAAATAAACGTGCTGGTTAGGTGGTTAAAAAGAAGCCTCCTTCCATTTGGGTTCATCACAGACATGTGTTTTAGAATCTCCTGCCTTCTCTCCCTCAGCAATTTTCCTATTAGCCTTTTCAGCTTAGTCAGAGGCAATAGGTTCATTATAGACCGAGCGCTGCTGAAAGTGCAGCGATATGCACTAACATGTTTGCATGTGTTTTGTGTATTTCTCTCCGTTTCTCTCTCTTTTTCTCTCTCTCTTCCTCCCACACGCCGTTAAAGGAGAGAGCACCGCGTTCCCAGTAGCTGACATAAAACAGACACCAGGGATGTCCAATCGCAGCACTCCCTCTCCGTTACCATGGTCACGGGAGCTCCAATAAGAGGTCTTTTTAGGTCACCATGCTCTGCAACCTTTTGGGCCCTGTGTGTCATGCAATTGTAGAAAATTTGGTTTATTTCATTTGCAGTCAAAACAGCCATTAAGTACAAGTTCTTCATTTTTCAGATGTTGCTGAGCAGATTAGACATAGATGATCCAGTTGCTTAAGGATAGAGAAAGTCAAAGTAAAATAAGTGTGGAAAACCAGAGTTTCCAAAACTGTTAAAAAAAATAATAATAATAATGATGGCGAGATATAGAAGGAATGGGACCCCTAACAACCATACAAGATCTGGTAGGCCACCAAAACTTGAAGCTTCTGTGTAATATACTGTTAAATATATATTTTCTGCTTTTCTCTTGACACTGAAAAGTGACTAATGTGCACTTAATTATACTTTAAACTGGAAATTAAATAAATGAATCCCTAACATTATTATTATTATTATTATTATTATTATTAAATAAATTATCCGTAACTTTTAAACAGCAGTGTGCGTTTCAGTTTGAAGTGAGTAATGTACTTTGTTTGGCTGCATGACACCAAGATCATACACAGTTTATTGAGATTTTTTTTTATTTTTAATGTCTTTGTTTATTCTTTTGTGCCCCATTAGACAAGTTGTCTTGTCTGATGAGTTTTTCGGCTTCACAGTCAGCCATATTAGTCTGAGCTCAAAGAATATGTTTCATATTGTATCCAGTGCTCGGCCTGCAGCTGGGCCTGATGTGTAAAGATGTTCAGTCTGTATTTCTTAATGAAATGATTGCAGTCCATCATTAGAGTAAGTGTCCTCTCACCTGCTCTCATGAGCCTTCATCAGCTGATTGCTGAGAGCCTGTTTTTAGGCACAAGGTATCACACTGGCCATCCTCCTCTATATGGAAATAAGATAAACGAGCAACAACTATGTAGCAATATGAGACAATGTCAGCTCTACAAAGGACATAAGGAAACTTGCTATGTAGCATGTACTGCTGTTAAAAGTTTCAAAACCACTCACTTAGCCTATACAGTCCATATATGGAAACTGAGCCGCCCAATGTGAATTAATCATGGTAGTGATGTCACAACCATTGACGTGATACAGAGTGTCCTTAGTGCGGACAGTCTGCAGTAGAGTGTCGTAGTGGAAAATGAGGGAAGATGATTGAATGTTGTGCTGTTCATGGTTATCAGGAAGCAGAAGCAGAAGCATTTCTTTTACCTTCTAAAGGATCTGAAAGGAACAGCTGAAGTTTATTTTTTCCAAAACACCTGAGGATTTCAGTCTGAAATTAAAAAAGGGAGTTACAAAAAGAATAAGACATTTTTTTAAGATAAAAAGTCATTCAGAGTGGTTTGATGTGGAATGTGTTGTTCTACAGAAATTTGCCAAGTCAGAATTGCTCACAGGTGTTCATAGGAACCAGACGTCTGAAGCATTTATTGTCTCTTAAAGCTGCCTCACACATGAAATGATTACCAATATGTTGCTTAATGTCTACAACATTGTTTTACCATGATTTTGGGTGTTTTTTTTTAACAGAGAGGTACATGCAGGCACTGTGAAGCAAAATAGTCCCCAAAGAAAATGTGTATTTACATATTTATATCTGTTTACCATTAGCAGAACACATGAAAACATGTAGGTTCACTCAGTGTTATGGATAGTAAAATAAAATGGCTATATTTGCATTGTAGACATCAATGGTTTGAATTATGCAGATTGTTTAAAATATCTGTGGAATTCCCCTTCCCCAATTTACTTTCTGTTTTACTGTAATTGACTGTGTCTCAGTCCAGAGTGCTTTTTTAAATGGGATCAGAGATCATTTACATGTATCATATATGTAAATAACCTAATCGGCCTGTTTAAGATATAAAGAAAGTTTGGAAAATGGTCATATAAAACAGAATAACAACTCTTTTTGGTACATAAACCCACACAAATGTTGTAAGTAGACTGAAGTGTTGTTTTTATTTGTTTTTTGTGTTTTTTTTTTTTATTTGAAGTCTACGATATTGGCCCTGGTGTGGCCCAAGTGTTGTGTATACAGCGCTTACATTTTGAGTTCTCTGCTGGAAGCAAGTTTTGTGTTGCGCTTTTGTTTTGAAACTACAGGCCTGAGCTCTGACTTGCTGTGCTGTTTCTCTCTGCAGGTGGACGAGGATGTGGCTTTGGATCAAGCGGTGAAGTTCTGTCAGATTCAGATGGCATCAGCACAAAGACAGGTAACACACACACCCGCACACAGAGGCACATTCAAATGAGCGAGGAAATAACACTCTATAGATGTTTTTTCCCCTCTGCAATGCAAATCCTTCACTCAGACATTCTTTTACGGTCACATTGAGCCTCTTGTTCAGTCTGAATGTCCTCAGTGTGCTTCTATTTAGCCAAACTTCTCTGGAACACTTTTTTCTATCACTTATTAGGAGTGATGTAAGAGTGTATGGATGCATCGTGATGCCTCATTCTGCAGGTGGTAGGCTTGAGCCAGTAGCTTTGCAAATCGCTGATAGATTCAATCCATCATGGTTCAAGTTGAACAGTTTAAATGTCTTAAAATGAGCCACCCACACCTTTAAGATGCACGAAAGTAAGGAAGATTGTCTCATAATTTCTTTTAGCATGTTTTCTCATAAGAACATTCTGTAGCAGCACAAGGCTGCACTTACTTACTTATTTGCTTGCTTACTTATGCATGCAAGCATGCATGGATGCATGCATGTCGTGATCTGGCTTATTAAACTGATAAAGCCGTGCGCAGCCTTCCATGCGCAGACTGATGTTGTGGTTAATAACAAATAACAAAAAAGACAAAGCCTGCCATTGTTACTAGTGATCTAATAATAATAATAATAATAATAATAATAATAACAGACTACAAGAATAGTAAAGGAAAGCTGCCATAACAGGTGCCTGAAAGGCTGACTTCAAAGTAATCTTAAGTCATTTTATTGTTTTAACATGAAGCAATTTAAAGACTGTAAATGTGTAATTTAATAAATGATTTGTTAAAAAGCAAAAATCATATCGAGAACTACAAAACCGTACACAAACGAATTTAGCTTACACGTTTCAAGCATATTTCATTTTTCAGATTTAAGCAGGCTTCTGTGTGGTGTTAGCACATAGCCTGCTGTGCTGACATGTCGTTGGACGAAGGAGGTGCAGAAAGGAGGAGCCTCTCAGTCTGTGTGAAACAGTTTTTCATAGTTATTGTTAATGTTTAGTTGTCATGAAATCTTTTCATGTGGTGTCAAAGAAAACCGAATGTGATTTTAACACAAAACTCTCACGTGAAGAGAAGATGAAGAGGAAGACGGAGTTTTCTATGAGGAAGTACTCCAGAAAAGAGTAGAAAACGTTAAAACTTGATTTTGTTACTGTTTTGTTTACACTCACTGTCTGTCTTGCTGTCCTAAGCAAACGCAGTGTGTCATTAGCATCGTCGTTAGCTTGGGAATTAACAGGCAACAGTCCAATTCACTGTATAATATCAAACTCTTTTCTATGATGTTTTTACTCGTTTTAAAGTTCTGAGTTTAAAGTAGTATACAAAGTGTTAGTTTCATTTAAGCTACACAGAAAGTGAGCAAATGCTTCTTCGAGTGCCTCCATAATTAAGAAGCTCCTTTCACATAGAGTGTGATACCATTTCACTGACCTGTCAGTTTACACAGGATTTCTATGGCTCGTTTAAGAAGGTAAAAGGCGCTGGAATCTTTACTGATGCATAAAGAAAATCACACCAGTAAAAGGTTCCTTTACCCCACCTCCCTGTGTAAAACTAATCCCATACAAATAGGGAACAAGTTGTCTTTTTTTTTCCTTTGGTCTCACTTAATTTGGATAGTCCACTATAATCCCCTGTGGATTATCTACAGATGTTCAAATGGTGAACAAACTATCTCTTGAAACTCAGTTGATTCTGAGCAGTGGTGGGGTTAGGGTTAGGATGTATACCAGGGTGAGGGTTGGGTTTAGGTTTTGGTTAAAGTTAGGGTTAGGATTAGAGGCAGGTTTAGAGTTAAAGAAAATTCTGGTCAGTTTAGTAGATATTTAGTTGAATGTAAGTTAAGAGTAAATTAAGTATCTTCAAAGCATCTAAAGTGGACTATCCAAATAAAGTGTTATCTTTTGTTTTAGCTGGTGTGACCCAGGCTGCAGACACTGGGTAACGGCCTGTTCTGCTAAAAAATAAAGAAGTTCAACACGGACTGTTGCAGCTGCTGGGTCTGTTCGAGGCCCCGTTACTTGCCTTTTGTCTTGACGTGTGTTTGTTTTTTCTGTAAAATTGGATCTCTTGATGAAATGCTGGATGAGCAGGTATGTACCAACTTTTGAAAAGGAGTATTTTTTTAAACTTTCTATCACTGCTTGCTTCAGTACTTTTAGCCAGAGAGAGGGAGAGAGAGAGAGAGAGATAGAGAGAGAGAGAGAGAGATTTATCCCACAGGCTATCTGTCCCTCAGGCTTTATTCCAGTAGAAGAGAGGTGGACTGAATGCTGTATGCTCCTTCTTTCTCCTCATTGCTCTCCTTTCAATTTCAGCCTCTACTTCTGTCTGTATTGTTCTCCTTTTTGTTTATTCTTTCACCCACTGCCTCTCTGTCTGTGTCTCTCTGCTCTCTCTCTCTCTTGTGTCTTTGTATGTTTTCTCTTTGGATTAGTGGTTCATAAGCATGTGGCAGCCTGTCAGCACAGCTACTGGAGCCACCTCTCTCTCTCTCTCTCTCTCTCTCTCTCTCTCTCTCTCTCTCTCTCTCTCTCGTCTCTCTCGTCTCTCTCCCTCAATTTCACATCTTCTCTCACTCTTTCTTGTTCTCTTTTTCTCTTATTTCTTTCTCTCATTCTTTCGCTTTCCTCTTTTTCATCTTCTCTCTCTCTTGCTCTCATTCACTTTCTCTAACTCATTTCCCTTCTTTTCTCTCTCTCTACCTTTCTCTCTCCCTCTCTTTCTGTCTTCTTTCTCTTTTCTTAATTTTTTTCTCTTTCTTACACTCTTTTATTTTCTGTCTCCGTCACTCTGTCTACCTCCCTCTCTCTCTCTCTTTCTTACTGTCACACACCACACATTTCACTCACTCACTCACTCACTTGTCTCTCTCTCTTTCTGAGTCCCTCTCTTTCTCTCTGTCCTTTTCTCTCTCTAGCTTCACTTCTGCCCTCACTCTTTCCTTTTTCTTTTTTCTCTCTTCCTTTATTTCTCTTTCCCTCTTTCTTGTTCTCTTTTTGTTATATTTCTCTCATTCTCTACTTTCATCCCTTTTCTCTTGCTCTCATTCATTTTCTCTCACTCTCTTTCCGTTTCTTTTCTCTTTCTCTGCCTTTCTCTCCCCCTCTCTTTCTGTTGTCTTTCTTTCCTCATTTTTATGTCCTCTCTTTCTCGCTTTCTTGCACTCGTTCATTTTCTTGGTCTCCCTCACTATCTGTCTGGCTTTCTTTCTCTCTTTCCTGCCCTTTTCTCTCACTCTCTTTTTCTCCCTCTTCTCTCTCTCTTTTCCTACCCCCCGTCTCTCTCACCCTCCCTCTTCTTTTTCTCCTCTTGTGCTTATTCTCTTTCACAGTCTCTCTTTCTTTCTATTCTCTGTTTTGCAGCCATGAATCAGATCTTTCCAACATGAGTGTATGATATGATAAATATGCCAGGAATATAAATATTTAAATACTTTCCTCAGCCTGAATAATGTATATAAATATGTATGGATTATAAGGCATACTTTGTTTACCATATACAGAGATTTTGTGTGTGTGGATGGATGGATGGATGGATCGAGTACATAGATATATTGTCATGGTATGTGTAGTGTTGAGTTTGTTGCTATGACAGTGATAAAGCCACAGGAATGCAGTTGTAATTCTTTCTTATGGATGTAACTTTACTGACAGTTGATGAAGAGCATTGTGTTTGTTCTGACAGTGCTGCAGTGCTCCAGTGCTTCAGCGCTTCCACAGAATCTCTTATTTACTCGATTCAGCGGCAGACGACCGTGTGTGTGTGTGTTTATGCAACAGGTGCTTTGCCTTTCTTCTCTGCCTCCTTTTGAGTGTGTGAAGAAGAAAGTCGAACAGGAAGTGCGGCTGCCGGTGGGAAGCGTGGGTTTGGGGCGGTTTGACTGAAAGAGAGAGTGAGTGGGTGCAGGCTCATCACAAATGTTTCTCTGTGTCAGTGCGGAATGCACAATTTACCATGGAAGGGTTTTTTTGTTGTTTTCGTGTCACTTTATTGTTGTCAGTGTCAGTATTGGGCCTGTGCTGATATTAAAGGACCCTGCTGATGTAGTAAAACAGATGCTGATAGATGTTAACTCGATGTTACACTATTTCAGAATACTGAACGTGGTTATTACAGCTGTACAGTAGGGGAGTACAAATACATCGATTCAGTGTGATACAGAGTGAAGGTGGCAGTTCAGCTGCATCAATTTTAAAGTGTTTCAATTAAATGAAATCGATTATGATAATATTCAGCTGATTATATGCTCATTTTATTTGGCCAAAATAAAATTCACAGGCTATTTTGGGTTTTTGTAATTGTATACTTGTTATTTTCACACATCTGCAATTCACCTTTAGCTTGCATTTGGTTTTACTAATCTGGTTTAACACTGTGGTAATGTATTTTGCTGTTATTCTCATTGTGAGATGTGAACTTTCAGCTATATAGCTGTAGGTCTGCATGTTCATGGACGTATATGCAAAAGTTGTATGCAAAAGTTAAGGCGCCCCGGTCAAACGGCATGTTTTGTTGATTTCTTTTATCTTCAAAAAAAAAACAAAAAAAAGTCAATACATCCTCTACAGAGAACACATGCCTGCACATTTTGTGTGTGTGTGTGTGCATATATATATATATATATATATATATATCGCTGAGGTCGGAAGAAAACCTTCTATCTCCTTTTTTGACCTTTTTCAGTTTTTTGAGATAATTTGAAAATGCCTGTTAATCTTTGCATTGTCTGTAAATTTCCTGAAGAATGGTCCAAAAGAAATGACCCAAAATGACTTGGAAAAAATTCTGGTTCCATTGACTTGCATTAAAAATAAAGTAGGTTTTTTCCTTCTCCTGTAAACTTACTATTTTAGAGATACGAGGTTTTCTTCTGACTGTATAATACACACACATATGTGTATGTGTGTGTATTATATAATATATAATATAAATATATAAAGTAATATATTGATATATAGATATATGTATTTAGAAGGATTTGGTAAAATG